AGAAACTATGTGTATATATATATATATGTATGCATGTATGCATGCATGTATGCATATGCATACATGTGTATATATATATACATATGTGTACATATATATTTTTTATATTCATAAAGAAAATGTACATGCCTACACGTGTATATATATATGTATATGTAGTTTTCGTCTACGCATGGGGTTTGGCGTGGTGGGGGACGGGCACCTGGCTTCACTAGTTTCATGAGCGACCCCAGCCCTTGCTTGTAGCACTTGTCAGTCCACAACCCTTTCCATCAAAGCTGTAGGTGTTGTAGGCCTGTAAGGGTTTAGGGTTTAGAGTTTAGGGTGTAGGGTGTAGGGTTTAGGCCCTAAGGCGCGGCGACGTAGCTTTGCAAGGCATGCGTTGGATCGCTCCGCGCGCCTCCCCGGTGATGTCAGCTGCCACTGACAGCTGCTGTGGTCCGGCCGCCTTCGAGTAGAGGACAGTCCTGAGTCTTGTCTCTTCTGCGCGAAGCGGGTCTCTTGCAGCCGCTTCAAAATGCTTCGTTTCATGGAGTCAATGCGTAGCCGTAGCCTAAGGACAGGACAGGCTCAACTGGCCCGACGCCTGACAGCCCAAACAGCTCAGCTGAAGCTGTCCAGATGTGGCGACTTGTCTCTTTTTTCGTAATCAAACCCCAAAGATTGCCTAGCAGAGATGAAGAAAACCCTCGCAAGAACGAGCCTCGACTGCCATCCCGCGCTTGCACCACTGGTCAAGGGCGCTGTGTCTAAGCTTTGAGGATCCACGGCAGAAACAGTCGCGCGGGCTGCGTTGGCTCGATCTCGGCACGAAATCTTAGTGCGCACATAAACATATACATAGACGTATACATATACATAAACATAGACATGGACATAGACATATACATATCAAGTATATATATATATATATCTCTCTCTCTCTCTTCTGGAAGCCTGAAGCCCGCAACACCTCGCGCGAGGTATTGAAAGTACTGCAAGGCCTGTCCCTAGCTACTGCTATCGAGTAGCCTGCCTCACTCACTTGAGCATTCTAGGGATTTTGTGCTATGGGAGGGTTTGGGGTGAGCGGCCCATTTTCGCTCTGAACTTTGGATGCGGGCCCGCTTCTTCAGCGGAATAGCCTGCCGAGTTTTTGCAGTGCTTCTGCCGACATGGCACTGCAGGCCCACAAAGTGCTGAATAACACCTTTTCGGCAATTGCCGCGAAATCTTCTCTTGTCTAAGAGAAAGATAGGAAGAGAGGGAGAGCTGGGGAGATCGTGACGGCGACCGAGAGTGGCTATGAATGGTGCTACGATCAACAACGAAAGAAAAACTCTATGTAGAATGCAAGGGAGAACGAAACCAGCACAATCTTAGCAGCGTCATGTTGGCATTAACTCTAAAGGAGGCCTGGCTTCTCAACGATTTCATTCAAGACTGCTGGCAAAAGCTCTGAAGTTGGACAACATGTCTCCATCGTTCGGTGGTATCTCTTCAAGTATTGAGTTCAAGGGCCGTTTCGGGTTCAGGTACATGGGATGATCCCGTGCCTGGCCGTGCCTGGCCCCTGCGCTGCCGTTTCTGCAGCGCCAGGGCCGCATCGGCGGCACTGCGGCGGAGCCTGTCAGGGAAAAGGATTCGACAGGCGGCCTCGGCCACTTCACAGCGCAGCTGTTGCACAGACGGTTTAAACAAAAGAAGCGTTGCAGAACTGTGCACCGGTCATGGATCTGGCTGCAAAGTCTCCTTCACATGTAAGACCCGTTTGTGTGGATCCAAGATCTTGCGGACCCACGCAGCAGATATTCCATTACATGAACTTGCAAGAGAGCATGAGCAGAACACCCCCCGAAACAGATCAAAGCATCAAGTCTAAACCCTAAACCCCGAGGAAAAACAGCTAAACCCCGAAGCCCAAAACTGCAAAAAAACAAAAACAAAAAAACACCCAAAACCCTAAGGCCTTAAGCCCCAAACCGCAGACCTGCCATCAGATCTCACTGGCCTTCTCAGTGCTAGCTCATGGAGGTCACAGTCCTGACATGGAGCTTAAGGGTTTGGAGGAGGGGGGGGGGGGGGGGAGGGTTTTAGGGTTTAGGGTTTAGGGTTTAGGGTTTAGGGTTTAGGGTTTAGGGTTTAGGGTTTAGGGTTTAGGGTTTAGGGTTTAGGGTTTAGGGTTTAGGGTTTAGGGTTTAGGGTTTAGGGTTTAGGGCAGCGGACACGTTCCACAAAACACTGTATAGCAACGGGGTGCTTGGTGCAGGCCCATGGGTTTCGAGTCCAAAACCTTACATTAAAACCACGGCATCCCTCAACACCATCAAACCTTAAGCCAGGGATGAGGGACTGGATTTGACCAGGGCGACTGTAGGCTTCGCACTCGCACTCGTGATTGGGACGTCGGCCACATGATTGTAACATCTTGAAATCAGCGGATTCAGCCTTGGCACCCTCGACCCTGCCTCCATCTGCACTACAAGACTCGAAGTTTGCGAGTTGAGGGATTGAGGCGCGGTCGGCATCAGATTTTTCCAGCAGCGCAACGTGCTTTGAAGGCTCACAAAAAAGTATTGCGGGCTAAATCCAAATTTCACCTGACAGAAGAAAATTTCCAGTCCATCTTTATCCAGACTGGCTGATCAGAAATATGAAGCGGCTCGCACCGCACTTCGAAACAGCTAAGAAGCGAGAAAACAATTCGGACCACTTCGGACCACTGCCTGACCCAAAGCATACAATGAAGGAATGGATATGGACATGAAGCATGCTGCTGCCTCAGCTGGCTTTGCCAACACAAGGCAACACACAATGACGTAATGGATAATGAAGCATGCTGCTGCCTCAGCTGGTTTTGCCAACACAAGGCAACACACTGCACCCGCAAGCTAAAAACAAAAGATGCTCCGAAAGCGTGTGGTGAAACGTGATGCAGGCCCTGGGCTCCACATGGAGCTTCGGTGTGACCGACCCAGACATGCAGCCAGATGCCTCACCGTAGGTTTACCACCTGCAAGCGAATGGCCGCACGACATTTGATCGAAAAACCTGCTCCTGACTTGCGGCAGACGGGCTTCGCACCTTCCAGCCCGTCACAAACCCACAGAGAGCCAATCAGCCTCAACTCCAAGCTGCTGCTTGTCGACAGCCGCCGAGGGGTCTCTGAGTGTTGCCGCGCGGCGCTTCCTCACCTTCTTCTCAAAAGCCCGCGGCTCCTTGAGCACGCTGAGAAGGTAGGCATTAAGCTCGTTTACGTAGAGCTGATGCGTAGCATGATCTGGGGGCAAAGTCCTCGGGGGTGCTGGAAACGTGTCCGGCACATAGAAAAGTGTAGGATCGTCAGGCTCCCAAACCCAGCAACCATGGCTTGCGCCGCACCCCATCCGTACAGAGAGCACGGAGTCCCAATGAGGTAGCCGCCCAGCTGCAAGGAATCCCATTTGAGCCACGACCCAGAGAGACTTCATGAACTGCTCCCACATAGCACCAAGCCCTAAACCCAAAACCCTTGAAGCCACGCTAAGCCTCTAAGCCCGGCCGGCAACACCAGAGACACAAGCAGCGCGACAGCTGCAGCAGGAACTTCCAGGCCTGCCCAGAGACTTTGGCTTGTTCAGGGTTCAGGGTTTGTAGGGTTTAGGGCTTAGGGCTTAGGGCTTAGGGCTTGGGGCTTCGGGCTTAGGGCTTAGGGCTTAGGGCTTAGGGCTTAGGGCGTAGGGCTTAGGGCTTAGGGATGTTCAGGTCCATGCTTTGGGATCGTGGAAGATGAAGGAAACCACCCGTAAGCCGAGTCCGAGTTGAGGCCACACAAGCTGCCTGGTGGAAGTTGCTGAAAGAGCGTTGAGACCTGGCAAGTCGTCTCGGGTTCCAACGAACCCCCGGTGCAAATTCAGAAGTATCCCGCGATCTCTTTGAAGTCTTCGGTACCGGCGGCTTCTAACGTCGCATCATATCGCCCTCACATCCATCCCTCAGCGTGATCAAGGTTCCATGGGCTGTGGAGATGGCCTTCAAGCCCGGCACCCCACCAGACGGGTTCAGCGCTGCTGCGAGCAAGGAGGCAAACAGGTGGCCCTCGCTCAGACAGCTTCCCGGAAATATCAAAAGGCCCTCTGAAGTGCAGAAAGGTGCAGAGCAACTACGCCGAGGCAAGCTTTACTGGCATTGCCGCGGCCTGTCTCAAAGCTTTCGTAGTCCTGCTTTTGGCAACACCATTAAGTTCCAGGCGTCTTGGGTAGCTGCTGCAATCAGCTCCTGCTGCAGCCTCACTGTGTGAGCTCCACACATATTGCAGTGTTGCCGATGTGGCCTCGCCCCCCCCCCCCCCCCCGGATCATGGAATCCTCTCTCGGGCTGCTGCTCTTGCTCTTTCGCCTCAGGGAGCTTGGCCTCCCGTCATCAAGGCAAGAGCAAAGCAATGGTAGAAGCGGCACCTGAAGACACTATGACCACGCCGACATCCCTGCACAAGTAGACCCCGGACAGGGTTTGCCCTGCGGCTTCTCTTTCCGGGAGGAGCAAAAGTGCAAAATGTACTTTTTTCCCCATGCTTCAATGCAAGGAGAAAAGAGATCGAAAGTCTGAGTCCCTGGTGCTTCAACCCTCTCGTCCACATTACTCCACCATCAAAAACATGATGCAAGTCTTGACAACTTTTGATGTTCCATCCTCTTTAAGATCTTTGAGTTCGCCCCCACTCCCGCCCCCCCCCCGCCCCCCCCCCGCCCCCCCCCCCCCCCCCCGCCCCCCCCGCCACCCCCCTCCCCCCCCCCGCCCCCCCCCATCCCCCCCCCCCCCCCCCCCCACCGCCCCCCCCCCCCCCCCCCCCCCCCCCCCCCCCCCCCCCCCCCCCCCCCCCCCCGCAACCCCAAAGCAGTCGGATGCCATGGAATCGCCAGATCACATGTCAAACGTGCCTCGGCTGTGCGAATGAGAACATTAATCGTACTGTTTGGATAGACCCCAAAGCAGTCGGAGGCCATGTAGATCGACCAGATCACATGTCAAACGTGCCTCTGCTAGCACATGCAAGGCTCCCTCAACGCTCCCGATCTCAAAGAGCTGGAGGCGGAAAGCCTCAAAAGGGAAGCAGTTGCAGCGTCACTGACTGGCACTTTGCAATGGCGCTGCAGTTGCGAGACTGTCGCCTGCGCAACTCCCTTCGCCGACGTACAGTAGACATTCAGATGCACACGTCACATTCCCCGCATCTAGCTCGCCTCCTCTGGATGTCCAAGCCTGGCAACGCAAGCGACAATCGAGCCCTGCTGAAGTGCGCACGAGGCGCCACATGCGTTGCTATCCGTGTGCTGAGCGCCCGCACATGAGCAGCGCCGCCGATGTTGCATCCCTTGCGCCTGCAGCCCAGGCCACCTGAGAAAGGTCTGCGTTCATCAAAGCAGCTTTGCAACACTCCGGCTTGAAAGGGAGTGAAAGGGTTGCTCACAATTTTTGCTCACGCGCCTCGAGGCACGAGCTAAGAGCTGGCCGCAAGGCCTCCTGCTTCGAGCACTCTCACAGCCCACACAGTGTCGCGCCAAGCGATGAGTTTTCTACAACCTATTCGACAAGACCTACTCCCCTACTCATATCGAAGAAGGAAACATTGCGGCACAGCAACTAGCAGTCCTCGTGTCGATCGGAGCGGGATTGCTCAAGCGTTGGCCTCCGCACAAGCAGAACTCGTAATTAAAGCGGCCAGCAGGCTACCAGCCTCGCTGCAACCAAAAATGGAACTGGACCCACGTCTGAAACTGAACCATACTACGAGTACTTTGTCCAGCCTGTGCAGCCAACCCGACCCAGTGGCGTGCTCTCTCATAGACTTTCTCCGGCCAAGAACAGCTTCACGCTCTTCTGACGTCTTGACTCTTCGGGGCACCAAGCGGGGTCCAGGCCAGCAATCGGTCGTCTGCAGCGGCGGCGATGGGCGGCTGGTACGGTAGCTCGAAGTCATGTAAGGCTGCACCAGATGTGGAGGGGTCATGGGAGAGGTGGCCCAAAGATGACAAGGCGGAGACAGAGGAAAGGGCTCGATCGGTCTCGAAGCCCAGGAATGTCGAGGAGCTGTAAACTGAGCTAGAGATCGCAGAGTGTCGGAGAAGCTGCAGGGAGTCAGCCAGCCGGTCTCTTACGAACTCAACACCGTCACTGAAGTCGGTAGCGTAGTGCTGCTGCATCTTAAGCAGGCAGAGAACAACACGAGGGGCAAACTCGGGAAACTTTGTCCCAAGCTTTGTCAAAGATGCAGTGATGACGGCCACGAAGCGCGGTGAGAAGATCTCCTCCACGGCGAACTCCACCTTGACGACCTCGGGCGAATGGTCGCCCTCCTCGGCGCCTTCATCCTCCTGGCTCCCCGTGGGGCCGGGGCCCTTCTCGGGCTCCCGGCTCTCTGAGACCTTGGGCTCTTTGGCCGCCTCCTCTGGCTCCGGCACGCGGACTGAGATGGCCTGATAAGCGAGGGTCTCCAGGGCCTCGAAGAACATGGCCACACCTCCCCGTCCCCCATTCTCGTACAGCGGCGGCCGGAGCAGCTCTCCAATGATCCAACAAAGGTGGAGCACCAAGAGCCTTCCTTGCACATCCAGGTGGGTGGAGATTGCGTGAACGACCTCCCGCTTGAGCGACATGAGGAAGGCCGGCCACTGCTGGAAGATGGCCTGCAGCGTGTCGATGATGAGTGTGTGCACGGAGTTTAGGAAGAAGTCCACGGGATAGAGCGAGGCAAAGCGCTGCAGGAGCAGTGGCACGACCCTCTCGATGCATTCCGGTGGCGCGTTGCTGAGTAGCACATCAAAATAAACTCGCAGGAAGCGAGGCACCAGCTTGCAGACGCTCGAGACGCGAGGCGTCACGGGCAGGGAGTTCCACAAGACGCGGATCATGCTCAGCTGTGCTTCATCTCGAGCTTCCCAGATGCACGCACCCCCAGCTTGGTTCCGCATGATGTACTGGTGAACGGTCTTAAACGGTGGAGTCCTGTCAAGGCCAAGCCGGGTCATCTGCCCATCCGAATGCTCATCTGGCCTCTCGTACTGCTCCATGAAGGCCGCCGTCAAGGGAAGATCCAGGAGGGTGTGAAAGAGCTCCGCGAAGGAGCTCGGGCCCACCATGGCAGGAACGATGGGCAAGACCTCCTCGGCCAGCGTGCGGGGGTGCCAAACCAGCAGCTTGATGATGGCCGGGTAGTACTTTGGGAACACGGGAGTGTGCAACAGCATCTTGGAGGTGTTTGTGGTAAGGAAGAGCAGTGTGCTCATGGCCAGAAGCTGCTGTCTGTAGCGCACAGAGACGTAATCCTCAAAGAAGTGGTGCAACACAGGATCCACGTCGAAGATCACATGCTGCCCGTGGTTTACGAAGAACTGTAGAACTGCAGCAAACACAACTCCGCTTTGCCGATTCGCAGTTCGCTCGTAGACTTTCTTCACGGCCGGGAAGATTCGCGTCACCAGCGACGGATCCATCAGACAAAGCAGGTCCAATATCCGCACAGCTTCCATGGACACACCCTCAATAAACTCCCTCATCCAATCCAACTCTGAGATAACATACCGTGCACCCAGCCTCATCTGCTGCGGGCCGTCACGGACAATGTCCAGCTCAACCTGCGACAAAATGCGCAGGCAGATGCTTATGACCACCTCTCGGAACTCCTCATCCAAGGTGAAGTGCCCGATCAATGAACTCTTGTCACTTTTCTTCAGCTCATTTAAGGGTACCTCCTTGGGAGCCTCACCGTGTACTAGCCCGTAGTGTTCCAGCTTCGAGACGATGTCATCCCTGCTTTGCCGCTTGCGGATCTCCAGGAGCTGCGCCTGGTAAAGGTAGAAGAGCCAGCAGTACAAGGAGCTGAAGATGTGGACGTTGAGGAGCTGATCATCGGAGTAGTCGTAGGAGTTGTTCATGCAGGTGAAGAAATCCCGCGTGGGCGTGCCGTCCACTTCAGTCACGTTGCACGACGCCGAGGATGAAACAATCCGTACCCCAAACAAGGTGGTGGACGTGGTTTTACGCGTCTCCAATGATGCACCCGTCAGCAGCTTGCAGAACTGCGATTCCATGGGCCGGATGTGTTGATCCTGATCCAAGACATTCGGAAATCGCTGCACGGCCGCGAGGAGGTTTGTGAGCGCTGCGGTCTTCAGGCTCATGCTCGTGGAATCGCTTGTAAACCACATCACCAGGTTAGGAATATTCTTGACCAGGAGATCTGCATTCAGCAGCTGTGACAGCACGGGCAGAAAGTAAACCACTTTGTTCTGATCATAGTGGTCAAAGTTACCACCAAAGTTATCACGGAAGAAGTAAGGGACCTCGCCAGAAGACAGCTCGCGGACCAGCGCTGAGCTCAAGATTCGGATCCTTGGCGGAGCAAATCCGCTGTCACCGACCAGGAGGGCAAAGAGCTCCTGGAGCACCCGGTGTGTCACTTCACTCAGCTTCCTGGCCTGGGTGTTCCCTGCCCCTCCGACCATTCCCGGCGTAGGCTGATGCAGGGAGGCTGTGACGTAGTGAAAGGCCTTGCGCATGAGCTGGTGCTGCTCCGCCTTGCTGTCGCGCGTCTGTGACTTGAGCTCCTGGTGGAGTCGACCCAGGATGGTGGCAACATCGCTTTGTCCAATCCGCTCCATCTTTTCAGAAACTGCATGCCGAGGCGCTGTGACAAGGTCTAAGCTCTGTCATGCATTTGTTATGTCCATGCGTATCCGTGCACGTCTGCGCACTGTACCATGAAGCCGCACCAGCTAGTGAACCAGCACATAGCCTATGAGATAACCGACCGTGTCAAATCATGAACGGAAAGTATTCCCTGACGTTGACTGTGTTGAACGTGCCGCATTGTCTACCACAGCTGCAGAGGACATGGGCTATAGCTTCGACAAACATCGATCATGATGCCGGACGATGCTAAGCTGCTAGGGACCCAGAGAGCAAAAGCCTGCCTGAGGTTGTGTGGCCGCAACTCCGCCTGGGGACGCAACTCACACTCGCTGCCACTAAGTTGCTCTTCGACACCTGCAGTACACTGGGGGCGCGCGCCGTCAGCCGCAGCACTCGGTCTCCCAAGTGCTCCAGACCATCGCGCTCAGCAAGGAGCCTGCGGTCCCCAAGCTCTCTAAGCTCGGCCCCCTTCGACTTTGACAAACCCATGCCTTTGCACCTTTTCGACAAGCTTGTGACCCACCTTGGGGAGACCTATAATACCAATGAGCCAAGAGACACACTTCTACTTGACTCTTCGCATGAAGTACGCAATCCGTGCTGCCATCTGCACCTCCATGCCTGCACAGCTCATCCTTCCTTTGCTCTACACTGAGTATTGCCGCCCCTCTCTCCACTGTTTCCGCTGTTTAAGCGGCCTTAAGTAGCGCAGCTCCCAGGCAGTGCCCTGCGGCGCTAGTGCCGCCAGCACTTCTTGGGGCGGCAGACTCTGAGGGTGGGCGGCCTGAGCAGGAGCGCCAGACAAAGCTCCTTCTACGCCTGGAAAACCGCAGCAGAAACCCACAAAATCTTGAAAACACCCAAAACCCAAAACCCAAAACCCAAAAACCCTTTTAGGGTTTTAGGGCTGCGGGATTTTAGGGTGTAGGACTTGGGGATATATAGGGTTGAGGGTTTAGAGTTATCGGTTTCGGGTTTGGGGTTTAGGGCTTGGGGCTTAGGGTTTGAAGGTTTGGGCTTAGGGTTTTAAGTTATAGAGTTTAGGGTTTCAGGGATTTAAAGCTCAGGGATTAGCGGGGGAGCAGGGAAACAGGCCGCTAACCCACAGCGCACAACCATACATGGGGGTCTGCGGCCGCCGACTTTAGCATTTGGGTGGGTTTTGTACGAAGGAACTGGGCCCTGCACTGCCAGATCTGCCGTCTGCCCAGGATGCAGCGCAACAAGCCTTTGATGCGTCTCAGCATGAGAAAGCTTCTCAATATGTGTGCCAACCTCTAAGTTCGTGATCTGATGCTTTCAACAAGTATGAGGCAAAAAAAATCAAATATATATATATATATGTAAGAGGAACCTCTATGTACTATTTGACATGGCTGCTTTCTGTATTAAAGTTTTAATAGTTTTAATAGTTTTGAACTTTCAAAACAACATCCTAAACTATTAAAACTTTAATTTTCCTTTTTAAGTTTTAATAGTTTTAATAGTTTTAATAGTTTACACTTTTAAAAAGGCTCCTAAACTATTAAAACTATTAAAAAGAAACGGCCTTGGCCAGGAGATTCCTGAACTTTTAAAACTATTAAAACTTTTAAAACTATTAAAACTATTAAAACTATTAAAACTATTAAAACTATTAAAAAGGCTTCTTTTGAATAGTTTTAATAGTTTTAATAGTTTCAACTTGTAAAAAGCCTCCCGAACTATTAAAACTATTAAAAAGAAGCCTTTTTAGTAGTTTTAATAGTTTTAATAGTTTCAATAGTTTTAAAAGTTTTAAAAGTTCGGGAATCTCCAGGCCAGGCCTTTTCCTTTTTAAGTTTTAATAGTTTTAATAGTTTCAACTATTAAAAAGGCTTCCAAACTATTAAAACTATTAAAAAGAAACGGCCTTGGCCAGGAGATTCCTGAACTTTTGAAACTATTAAAACTTTTAAAACTATTAAAACTATTAAAACTTTTAAAAAGGTTCCTTTTTAATAGTGTTAATAGTTTTAATAGTTTCAACTTTTAGAAAGCCTCCTAAACTATTAAAACTATTAAAAAGAAACGGCCTTGCCCAGGAGATTCCTGAACTTTTAAAACTATTAAAACTTTTAAAACTATTAAAACTATTAAAACTATTAAAACTATTAAAACGATTAAAAAGGCTTCTTTTTAATAGTTTTAATAGTTTTAATAGTTTTAATAGTTTCAACTTTTAAAAAGCCTCCCGAACTATTAAAACTATTAAAAAGAAGCCTTTTTAATAGTTTTAATAGTTTTGAAAGTTTTAAAAGTTCAGGAATCTCCAGGCCAGGCTTTTTCCTTTTTATGTTTTAATAGTTTTAATAGTTTTAATAATTTCAACTTTTAAAAAGCCTCCCAAACTATTAAAAACTAGCGGCTCGATTTGGCCAATTTTTCCCGGGCAGTCTGCGGGCAAAATTTGGCCAAATCGGGCTGCTCGTCGTACGCGATAACAATTAAATAATTTCCGGCCTCCAGAAAGGCGCGGTTCGATTTGGCCAATTTTTGCCGGGCAGGCTCCGGGCAAAATTTGGCCAAATCGGGCTGCTCGTCGTACGCGATGAGAAATGCGCGGGTCGATTTGGCCAAATTTTGCCGGGCAGCCTCCGGGCAAAATTTGGCCAAATCGAGCCGCGCATTTCTCATCGCATAACGAAGAGCAGCCCGATTTGGCCAAATTTTGCCCGGAGCCTGCCCGGCAAAATTTGGCCAAATCGAGCCGCGCCTTTCTGGAGGCCCAAAACTATTTAAATTATGTAGATAATAAAAATAAAAAAAATGAAATAATTCCGGGCCTCCAGAAAGGCGCGGCTCGATTTGGCCAAATTTTGCCGGGCAGGCTCCGGGCAAAATTTGGCCAAATCGGGCTGCTCGTCGTACGCGATGAGAAATGCGCGGCTCGATTTGGCCAAATTTTGCCTTTTTAATAGTTTTAATAGTTTTAATAGTTTCAACTTTTAAAAAGCCTCCCCAACTATTAAAACTATTAAAAAGAAGCCTTTTTAATAGTTTTAATAGTTTTAATAGTTTTAAAAGTTTTAAAAGTTCGGGAATCTCCAGGCCAGGATTTTTCCTTTTTAAGTTTTAATAGTTTTAGTAGTGTTAATAATTTCAACTTTTAAAAAGCCTCCCAAACTATTAAAACTATTAAAAAGAAGCCTTTTTAATAGTTTTAATAGTTTTAATAGTTTTACAAGTTTTAAAAGTTCTGGAATCTCCAGGCCAGGCCTTTTCCTTTTTAAGTTTTAATAGTTTTAATAGTTTTGATAGTTTCAACTTTTAAAAAGGGGCCGAAACTTTTAAAACTATTAAAACGAAACGGCCTTGGCCAGGAGATTCCTGAACTTTTGAAACTATTAAAACTTTTAAAACTATTGAAACTATTAAAAAACTATTAAAAAGGTTTCTTATTAATAGTTTTAATAATTTTAATAGTTTCAACTTTTAAAAAGCCCCCTAAGCTATTAAAACTATTAAAAAGAAACGGCCTTGGCCAGGAGATTCCTGAACTTTTAAAACTATTAAAACTATTAAAACTATTAAAACTATTAAAAAGGCTTCATTTTAATAGTTTTAATAGTTTTAATAGTTTTAATAGTTTTAATAGTTTTAATAGTTTTAATAGTTTCAACTTTTAAAAAGCCTCCCGAACTATTAAAACTATTAAAAAGAAACCTTTTTGATAGTTTTAATAGTTTTAATAGTTTTAATAGTTTTAAAAGTTTTAAAAGTTTTAAAAGTTCGGGAATCTCCAGGCCAGGCTTTTTCCTTTTTAAGTTTTAAAAGTTTTAATAGTTTTAATAATTTCAACTTTTAAAAAGCCTCCCAAACTATTAAAACTATAAAAAAGAATCCTTTTTAATAGTTTTAATAGTTTTAATAGTTTTAAAAGTTTTAAAAGTTCGGGAATCTCCAGGCCAGGCCTTTTCCTTTTTAAGTTTTAATAGTTTTAATAGTTTTAATAGTTTTAATAGTTTCAACTTTTAAAAAGCCTCCCAAACTATTAAAACTATTAAAAAGAAGCCTTTTTAATAGTTTTAATAGTTTTAATAGTTTTAATAGTTTTAATAGTTTTAATAGTTTTAATAGTTTTAAAAGTTCGGGAATCTCCAGGCCAGGCCTTTTCCTTTTTAAGTTTTAATAGTTTTAATAGTTTCAACTTTTAAAAAGGCTCCGAAACTATTAAAACTATTAAAAAGAAACGGCCTTGGCCAGGAGATTCCTGAACCTTTGAAACTATTAAAACTTTTAAAACGATTGAAACTATTAAAACTATTAGAAAGGCTTCTTTTTAATAGTTTTAATAGTTTTAATAGTTTCAACTTTTAAAAAGCCTCCCGAACTATTAAAACTATTAAAAAGAAGCCTTTTTAATAGTTTTAATAGTTTTAAAAGTTTTAATAGTTTTAAAAGTTTTAAAAGTTCGGGAATCTCCAGGCCAGGCCTTTTCCTTTTTAAGTTTTAATAGTTTTAATAGTTTTAATAGTTTTAATAGTTTCAACTGTTAAAAAGCCTCCCAAACTATTAAAACTATTAAAAAGAAACGGCCTTGGCCAGGAGATTCCTGAACCTTTGAAACTATTAAAACTTTTAAAACTATTAAAACTATTAAAACTATTAAAAAGGTTTCTTTTTAATAGTTTTAATAGTTTTAATAGTTTCAACTTTTAAAAAGCCTCCCAAACTATTAAAACTATTAAAAGAAGCCTTTTAATAGTTTTAATAGTTTTAAAAGTTTTAAAAGTTCGGGAATTTCCTGGCCAGGGCCCCGGGCCTCTTCCCAATACTAAATCACAAGCCCAAGCCTCTACCCAATACTAAATTACGAGCCCGGGCCTCCCCCAAATACTAAATCACGAGCCCGAGCCTCCCCCCAATACTAAATCACGAGCCCGAGCCTCCGCCCAATACTAAATCACGAGCCCGGGCCTCTCCCCAATACTAAATCACAAGCCCAAGCCTCCCCCCAATACTAAATCACGAGCTCGGGCCTCCCCCCAATACTAAATGACGAGCCCGAGCATCCTCTCAATACTAAATCACGAGCCCAGGCCTCCCCCCAATACTAAACTACGAGCCCGGGCCTCACTCCAATACTAACCTGCCATGAGATTCCTGAACTTTCAAAACTTTTAAAACTTTTAAAACTATTAAAACTTTTAAAACTTTTAAAACTATTAAAAAAGCATCGGGCCATCTCCCAATACTAAATTACGAGCCCGGGCCTCCCTCCAATACTAAATCACGAGCCCGGGCCTCCCCTCAATACTAAATCACGAGCCGGGCCTCCCCCCAATACTAAATCACGAGCCCGAGCCTTACCCCAATACTAAATCACGAGCCCAGGCCTCTCCCCAATACTAAACTACAAGCCCTGGCCTCCTTCCAATACTAACCGGCCATGAGATTCCTGAACTTTCAAAACTTTTAAAACTTTTAAAACTATTAAAACTTTTAAAACTTTTAAAACTATTAAAAAAGCCTCGGGCCTTCTCCCAATACTAAATTACGAGCCCGGGCCTTCTCCCAATACTAAATCACGAGCCCGGGCCTTCTCCCAATACTAAATCACGAGCCGGGGCCTCCCCCCAATACTAAATCACGAGCCCGAGCCTCCCCCCAATACTAAATCACGAGCCCGGGCCTCCCCCCAATACTAAATCACGAGCCCGGTCCTCCCCCGGAAGCGGGCCAGCCCCCCCTCCTTTTCCATTTAAATTATTTAAATTATTCAAATTATAAAAATTATGTAAATTATATAAATTAGGGTCGCGTCACTTTGGTCAGATTTTGCCGGGCCCCGCGTAGATCCAGGCAGATTTTGTCCATGGTGATTTCTCCAAAAACACAAAGGACAAAATCTGCCTGGATCTACGCATCACTTTTTTTGTAAGAAACAGCGCCGCGTAGATCCGGGCAGATTTTGTCCATGGTGTTTTCTCAAAAAACACGAAGGACAAAATCTGCCTGGATCTACGCGGCACTTTTTTTTGTAAGAAACAGCCCCGCATAGATCCAGGCAGATTTTGTCCATGGTGTTTTCTCAAAAAACACGAAGGACAAAATCTGCCTGGATCTACGCGGCACTTTTTTTCGTAAGAAACAGCCCCGCGTAGATCCAGGCAGATTTTGTCCATGGTGTTTTGTCAAAAAACACGAAGGACAAAATCTGCCTGGATCTACGCGGCACTTTTTTTGTAAGAAACAGCCCCGCGTAGA